AGAGAGAGAGAGAGAGAGGGAGAGAGAGAGAGAGAGAGAGAGAGAGACAGGGGCACACACAACAACAACAACCCTCTTGGTATGCATCAGGAGGCTGTGAGATGAACTTGGTCTGTCTGGAAGCTGGTAGGGACCAAATCAGGTGAGGCACCAGAGAGTAGAGGCCAGAGAGGCAATGACTCTGCAGCAGAGACCTGTACTGCTGGCAAAGGTGAGGAAACAAGGCATGGAGGATTCTAAAACTCTTCCAAAGGGTATACTTAGAATCCAGGAAAGGGGGTGAAATCTCTAGGGTTTGGGAATCAAGCTCAGTGTTGGAGACATGAGAAAGGAGCAGAGTCAAACCCTAACTGAAAGAAGCCAAGACAGGCAGGAAGAATCTAAGGAACTCCAAGAACCAGGCAGGAAGCTACAGGTGGGCTATGGAGGGTGGCATTTTGTGGAGACCAAGGCAGGCCCAGGAGCTCGAGGAATTATGAAACAACAGAGAACAGGGCATCTAAGATTTCAAGGTACCAGGCTGAGCAGTCACGGGGGAGCGGGGGCAGAAAAGACTACAGAAGATCTGACTAAGCAACCATAGCAGGTCTGGGAAAGTGAGAGTACAGGGGACCAAACTGAGGAACCAAAGAGGAACCTGTATAGATGAGGGTTTAGGGTACCAGGATGAGAGCTACACGAAAGTTGGGCAAGTGGGAGTGTGGAGGACCAAGCTGAGAAGCTGCAGCAAGATGAAGCAAGAGAAGATGAAGCAAGAAGGAGCATGGAGAACCAGACTCAGCACCTCCAGAGATCCCAGGCTGGGAGGAATTCTAAAGGGTCACAGAAGCCTTGAAACCTCAGGAAACATGACTGGGTACCTGTGCCAGAGCTGAGATAGGTGATGAAACGAATAGTCTGACAGGTGGGAATGTGGGAACCAGTCCTGAAGTTCTGGGGGAGCTAGGGGAGGTGGGAGTGTGGGGTCAGGCTGAGCAGCTCCTGGGAGAGCTAGGGATGGTGGGAGTGTGGGGTCAGGCTGAGCAGCTCCTGGGAGAGCTAGGGATGGTGGGAGTGTGGGGTCAGGCTGAGCAGTTCTGGGGGAGCTGGGGAAGGTGGGAGTATGGGGACCAGGCTGAGCAGCTCCTGGGAGAGCTAGGGATGGTGGGAGCATAGGATGCTAACCTGAACTGCTCTGGGGTAGCTAGGGATGGTGGGAGTGTGGGGGCCAGGCTGAGCAGTTCTGGGAGAGCTAGGGATGGTAAGAGCATAGGATGCTAACCTGAGCTGCTCTGGGGGAGCTAGGGGAGATGGGAGTGTGGGGGTCAGGCTGAGCAGCTCCTGGGAGAGCTAGGGATGGTGGGAGCATAGGATGCTAACCTGGGCTGGTGGGGGGGAGCTAGGGATGGTGGGAGTGTGGGGTCAGGCTGAGCAGCTCCTGGGAGAGCTAGGGATGGTGGGAGCATAGGATGCTAACCTGGGCTGGTGGGGGGGAGCTAGGGATGGTGGGAGTGTGGGGACCAGGCTGAGCAGTTCTGGGGGAGCTATGGAAGGTGGGAGTGTGGGAGCCAGGCTGAGCAGTTCTGGGAGAGCTAGGGATGGTGGGAGCATAGGATGCTAACCTGAGCTGCTCTGGGGGAGCTAGGGATGGTGGGAGTGTGGGGTCAGGCTGAGCAGCTCCTGGGAGAGCTAGGGATGGTGGGAGCATAGGATGCTAACCTGAGCTGCTCTGGGGGAGCTAGGGATGGTGGGAGTGTGGGGTCAGGCTGAGCAGCTCCTGGGAGAGCTAGGGATGGTGGGAGCATAGGATGCTAACCTGAGCTGCTCTGGGGGAGCTAGGGATGGTGGGAGTGTGGGGTCAGGCTGAGCAGCTCCTGGGAGAGCTAGGGATGGTGGGAGCATAGGATGCTAACCTGAGCTGCTCTGGGGGAGCTAGGGATGGTGGGAGTGTGGGGTCAGGCTGAGCAGCTCCTGGGAGAGCTAGGGATGGTGGGAGCATAGGATGCTAACCTGAGCTGCTCTGGGGGAGCTAGGGATGGTGGGAGTGTGGGGTCAGGCTGAGCAGCTCCTGGGAGAGCTAGGGATGGTGGGAGCATAGGATGCTAACCTGAGCTGCTCTGGGGGAGCTAGGGATGGTGGGAGTGTGGGGTCAGGCTGAGCAGCTCCTGGGAGAGCTAGGGATGGTGGGAGCATAGGATGCTAACCTGAGCTGCTCTGGGGGAGCTAGGGATGGTGGGAGTGTGGGGTCAGGCTGAGCAGCTCCTGGGAGAGCTAAGGATGGTGGGAGCATAGGATGATAACCTGAGCTGCTCTGGGGGAGCTAGGGGAGGTGGGAGTGTGGGGTCAGGCTGAGCAGCTCTGGGGGAGCTAGGGAAGGTGGAAGTCGGGGGTCAGGATGAGCAGCTCCTGGGAGAGCTAGGGATGGTGGGAGTGTGGGAGCCAGGCTGAGAAGTTCTGGGGATCTAGGGGAGGTGGGATGTGGGGACCAGGATGAGCAGCTCTGGGGGAGCTAGGGAAGGTGGGAGCATAGGATGCTAACCTGAGCTGCTCTGGGGGAGCTAGAGGAAATGGGAGAGTGGGGGCCAGGCTGAGCAGCTCCTGGGAGAGCTAGGGATGGGGGGAGCATAGGATGCTAACCTGAGCTGCTCTGGGGGAGCTAGAGGAAATGGGAGAGTGGGGGCCAGGCTGAGCAGCTCCTGGGAGAGCTAGGGATGGGGGGAGCATAGGATGCTAACCTGAGCTGCTCTGGGGGAGCTAGAGGAAATGGGAGAGTGGGGGCCAGGCTGAGCAGCTCCTGGGAGAGCTAGGGATGGGGGGAGCATAGGATGCTAACCTGAGCTGCTCTGGGGGAGCTAGAGGAAATGGGAGAGTGGGGGCCAGGCTGAGCAGCTCCTGGGAGAGCTAGGGATGGGGGGAGCATAGGATGCTAACCTGAGCTGCTCTGGGGGAGCTAGAGGAAATGGGAGAGTGGGGGCCAGGCTGAGCAGCTCCTGGGAGAGCTAGGGATGGGGGGAGCATAGGATGCTAACCTGAGCTGCTCTGGGGGAGCTAGAGGAAATGGGAGAGTGGGGGCCAGGCTGAGCAGCTCCTGGGAGAGCTAGGGATGGGGGGAGCATAGGATGCTAACCTGAGCTGCTCTGGGGGAGCTAGAGGAAATGGGAGAGTGGGGGCCAGGCTGAGCAGCTCCTGGGAGAGCTAGGGATGGGGGGAGCATAGGATGCTAACCTGAGCTGCTCTGGGGGAGCTAGAGGAAATGGGAGAGTGGGGGCCAGGCTGAGCAGCTCCTGGGAGAGCTAGGGATGGGGGGAGCATAGGATGCTAACCTGAGCTGCTCTGGGGGAGCTAGAGGAAATGGGAGAGTGGGGGCCAGGCTGAGCAGCTCCTGGGAGAGCTAGGGATGGGGGGAGCATAGGATGCTAACCTGAGCTGCTCTGGGGGAGCTAGAGGAAATGGGAGAGTGGGGGCCAGGCTGAGCAGCTCCTGGGAGAGCTAGGGATGGGGGGAGCATAGGATGCTAACCTGAGCTGCTCTGGGGGAGCTAGAGGAAATGGGAGAGTGGGGGCCAGGCTGAGCAGCTCCTGGGAGAGCTAGGGATGGGGGGAGCATAGGATGCTAACCTGAGCTGCTCTGGGGGAGCTAGGGATGGTGGGAGTGTGGGGACCAGGCTGAGCAGTTCTGGGGGAGCTAGGGAAGACGGGAGTGTGGGGGCCAGGCTTAGCAGCTCCTGGGAGAGCTAGGGATGGTGGGAGCATAGGATGCTAACCTGAGCTGCTGCTCTGGGGGAGCTAGAGGAAATGGGAGTGTGGGGGCCAGGCTGAGTAGTTCTGGGGGAGCTAGGGAAGATGAGGGTGCGGGGTCCAGGCTGAGCAGCTACAGGGAGCTGGGGACAATAGAAATCTGAAGGTTTTTGTTTTTCGTTTTTTGAGAACAGGGTTTCTCTGTGGCTTTGCAGCCTGTCCTGGAACTTGCTCTTGTAGAGAGCAAGGCTGGTCTGGAACTCAGACAGAGGCATGGGCCACCACTGCCTGGCTGAAGTCTGAAGTATTAACCTGAGCAGTTACAGAACATCGGAGGCACATGGGAGCAGTGTTGGGGACCAAGCTGAACAGTTACCAGGGCTGGGGCAAGTGAAGGTGTCTGGCTGAGCAGCTCCTTGGGAGCTGGAGCTGGTGGGTAAATAAGAGTACCAGATTAAACAGCTGCAGGGGAGCTGAGGTAGGTGGGAATGGGAAGCACCCCTCTGAGAAGCCACAGACAAGCTGGGTCTGTCAGATGTAGAGGGTCCCGGATTGTACTGGGACCAGTTCAACATACTGAACAGCTACCAGTGAACTGTGACCGGTGAGGCTATGGAGAATAGGCTGAGCAGCTACAGGGGTAGCTGGGGCTGATGAGAATGGTGGAAGGCAGGCTGAGAATCTCAGAGAAGTCAAGGTCGGCAGGAGTTCTGGCGGATGAGGGAAGCTGCTCAGGGAAACCAGCTTGAGCAGTGACGACAAAGCCAAAGCAGGTGGAGTGAAGGTATGGAGAATGGCAGGAGTTGGGGGGAAATCAGGCTGAGTACCTGCAAGGTGATTGGAAAAGGTGGGAGTGTGGGGGGCCCGATCAAGCAGTTACTGGGGTCCTGGGGCAGGTGGGAGTGTGAGAAAGTGGACTGACTAGCTGTACGGAAACCAGGACAAGTGGTTGTGTGAGGAGCCCAGTCTGAGTGGCCACAGCGTACTGAGGCAGGTGGTAGTGCTAGGGGGACCAGATCAACCACAGGAAATTATTAGGTCTGGAGGGGGCAGCCAGGAATGCCCTGGACAGGCCAGTACAAGTGAATGAGGCTCCTGGGCCTTTGTGAGCTGAGATGGTTCAAGTGGTGGTGGCAGCTGAGGGACTGGGGATCAGGTGAGATGGGGGGACTGGAAACAGCTGCAGAGGACCCGGTCACCTCACCTTTCCTGCTGTTTCAGCTCCCCTGTCTGCACCTGGCAAGAACATGGTGAGAGCTGGGTTTAGATGGAGGGCTCTGTGCAAGGACTAGACAGAAGTGGGAAGGGAAGGAGAAAGAGAGAGGGAAAGCGCTCAGGGCTCACCTGAACTCACAGGCAGGTGATCAGCCTGGTTGCAGAGAGAACCAGAAGGGACAAGTAGGAACATGGACAGGGGATATTCCTAGGGGTAACACTCTCAAAAGGACCATATAGGCTGCAGTTGCGGGGTCAGGAGCCCCATCTTTGTCCCTGGAGATCAATGGGAACATAGGATAGGAAGGCCAAGCATGTTGCAGCAGGGAGCTGGATGTCCAGAGTGGGGCAGGGGGAACTTCGGCAGTTGTGATCCAGAGAAGGGTGACAGGAGGCCAGTAAGACCCTGGAGCTGAGAGAAGGAGACCAGGGTTGGAGGGACCGCAAGCCTGGTATGCAGTTTACTCATGAATGGTAGCACATCCTAAACTCAAGGACCCAAGGCTTCCAGAAATAGAAAGGGGGACTCGTTGGGATCTGGAGACACTGGCACTATGAAGGGAAAAGCAGGGATGAGTGCAGGGTGGAGCTAAGACAAGAGACAGTAGAGCTGAGTTCATAAGGTCCCCATTAAGAAATGTAGAGTACAACGACCTTGGAGGCATCCAGGGAGGTCAGGCCAGGCAGGGTTACCCATGCTGGGAAAGTGGGCCACAGGTGTGCTGAACCCCGGGAATCAAGGAGGAAGAGTCAATGAGAGCCCAGGTCACCCTGGAGCCCAGAGCACAAATTTAGGAATCAAAGTAGCAGGCAGGTTGAGGAAGGGTCCCTTGAGCATTGTGTCAGCGCAAAAATCAGAGTCAAGAGTCTAGAGGTGGGATTTGTTCACCCTCCTTGGCTCAGAAAAAACACCAGAAGGCAAGGACTGCATGACTAGAATAGGAATCTGGTTTTGTCCTGGGACCTGACAACAGGGGCCATCAATTAGGTCAGACGCCACAATAAACAAACAAAAAACTGAATGAATGAATGAATGAATGAATGAATGAATGAATGACCGAACGAATAGAATTCAGAGAGGGAGCAAGGGATCAACAGTACAGCAGAAGCCGACAGGGCAGGGCAGGCAGAGCTGGGGAAGGGAGTGCAGGCTCCACTGAGGGAAACTTAAATGATGTGCACAGCTTCAAGACACAAATGCAAGAGGACTGCAGAGCTGGACATAGAAACCATGCCGGAGATGACATCCACCAGCTTTCCAAAAATATCCTTGGGATAGAGTTCTACTGGTCAGGCCTAGCCTCGTGATCCTGAGGTAGAGAGGATCTAAGTTGAGACAGTTGGGTCAATTAAGGTGACCGTGTGATGCCCATACCCCAGGTACTAGATCCTACACACTCTTCGAAGAAGCCTGAGGCCCTTGTAGGGCCAAGAGCAGAGCTCTTCCTGGCACCTAGATCCAGCCATGTCTGATAAGCTCACACATGCTCCCTCTCTTGCAGCTGGAAGAACAGCCCCATCTGTCTATCCCTTGGCCCCTGCCTGTGATCGCACAACAGACACCACAGACACGGTGACCCTGGGATGCCTGGTCAAGGGCTATTTCCCTGAGCCGGTGACCGTAAGCTGGAACTCTGGAGCCCTGACCAGCGGCGTGCACACCTTCCCATCTGTCCTGCATTCTGGGCTCTACTCCCTCAGCAGCTCAGTGACTGTACCTTCCAGCACCTGGCCCAGCCAGACCGTCACCTGCAACGTAGCCCACCCGGCCAGCAGCACCAATTTGAACAAGAGAATTGGTGAGAGGATAAGCAAGGGCGATCAAGGTTAACTGGGAGGTCAGGCTGGGGTCAACCTCTGTATGGAACAGTCAAGCTGGGCAGACCTGGGCAGGGAGGCAACACCAACCAAGGGAGCAGGACTCCTTTGTGTCTACCTCCTGGAAACCTCTGTTCAAGTTCCTCACACTTAGAGAGTGGTCTTCTTGGAGGACTACCAGTATTTCACATCATGGACACAGGTGTCAACCTGCCAATCCATATCATATCCAGGAACAGCTTGACCTCCTCCCACACTGGGGCCATCCTTCTCCTCTCCAGATTGATACCCTCTCTCCTCCGGACTCTGTTAATGCCCCCCCCTTTTTTTTCTCTGCAGAGCCTAGAAGCTGCTCAGGTCCCTCGTGCTCACGTAAGTCATTTAAGACTCTTTCTTTAGTCCCAGGAAATAATTATCACAAACTGTTACACACTGGAGGCCTGGTTTATGACCCACCCTATCTCTCTTCTCTAGCTGCCTGCATCGGTGGACCATCTGTCTTCATCTTCCCCCCAAAGCCCAAAGAGACACTCATGATCTCCCTGACCCCCAAGATCACATGTGTGGTGGTGGACGTGAGCGAGGATGAGCCAGACGTCCAGTTCAACTGGTTTGTGAACAACGCAGAAGTGTACACAGCTCAGACACAGCCCCGGCAGCAGCAGTACAACAGCACCTACCGCGTGGTCAGTGTCCTGCCCATCCAGCACCAGGACTGGCTGAATGGCAAGGAGTTCAAATGCAAGGTCAACAACAAAGCCCTCCCTAGCCCCATTGAGAAAACCGTCTCCAAACCCAGAGGTGAGAACTGTAGACAGACTGTGTGGGGGCTGCGATGGGCAGAAGGATGAGCACTTGTGCGGACAGCCAGTAATTCCTTATGACTTCCCCCCCCCCCCCCAGGGCAACCCCGGGTGCCTCAAGTGTACACCATGCCTCCACCTCAAGAACAAATGTCCAAGAAGAAGGTCAGTCTGACATGCATGGTCACGGACTTCTACTCTGACGCCATCAGCGTGGAGTGGGAGCGGAACGGGATGCTGGAGCAGAACTACAAGAACACCCCTCCCATTCTGGACTCAGACGGTTCCTACTTCCTCTACAGCAAGCTCACTGTGGACACGAGCACCTGGTTGCGAGGAGACACGTTCACTTGCTCTGTGGTGCACGAAGCCTTGCACAACCACCACACACAGAAGAATCTCTCCCGCTCCCCGGGTAAATGAGCTCAGACACCCAGCCAGACACTGGACCCCACCCTAACCCCTCATGCTATAAATAAAGCACCCAGAGCTACCCTGGGACCCTGTGAGACGATCCTGGTTCTTTACACGGCACATAGCTCACGACCTGATTCAGCCACAGGCTGTGGGGTCTGACCGGGGTCTGAGGCCTAAGTTAGAGTCAAAGAAAGAAAACAGGTCTCATACGGCCAGACACAGAGCATGGAAGTGTACCTGTCCTTGCCAGGGGTCATCCCTCTCTGGGTAGGAAGTTTGGCCTCTCCATACCCTCCTTCCAACCAGCAACTGCTCTGTGTTGGGGTGGGAGATACCCCTAGAAAACATCTAAAGAGAAGAATACAAGGAGTGCACCCCACCTCAACACAAGCCCCACCCTCATCCACCTGCCCCTCTCTCTACCATGACCCGCCCACTTTGAACGCTACAGAAACACTCTGGGGCATGGACAGACAGAGAGACTCTTATTGTCCATACATGGAGCCCAGACGGCTCTTCCAGGTCTCCTGACTGTGTCACCTCCCCTATGACATTCACTCACACCTGTCTTCCAAGACACTGAGACCTGTGATCCTGGTTGCCCCCAAAGAAGTAACTGTTCAGATATCCACATAGATGCTGAGATGAGAGCCATTAGGAGCAGCCTGCAGAGCACCACAGAAGCCACATGACGCCTCCAATCACACACACACACACACACACACACACACACACACACACACTCTCAGTGTTTTTGGAATAATTCCATGAGGTCCTATTAAGACTCTGCAGTGTCAGGATATCCCTAAACACTCCCTAAATGTTCACATTTAGGCTGGTGCAGATGAAACAGCTCTCTTGGGCACCTGAACTATTTCCCTTAGCACACAGAAAAGTCCCCCAACAGAATCAGCCTGACCCTCCATCCTCAAGCTCCTATCTTAATCCCACATAGTCAACACTCTCCCATAGCTATATGGTTCACTTCCCAGTGTGGACCTTCTAGAAAGCCCAGACAACACCAGACACAGATCCTGCCCTCATTCTGGCCCTCCAGACTTGGTCACCAGGGGACAGATTGCAGAGTCATTACCTACAGGGGTCACAAGTCCTAATTCAGCCCAGCCAGCCCCAGTACTAAGGGATGAGGTAGACAAAAAGGAGTCCTGTGTAGTTCAGGCCACCATCAGGTCTGTATCTTGCTGAGCCTAAGGTTTAAGCTGGAACGGTTGGAAGAACTCTGGCTGCTGGCCCAGAGAGGGCAAAAAAAGGTGCCCCCGGGGGGTCTGCTGGCCCGGCCCAGCTGGCCCTTTCTCCTCTGACTCCAGGCAGACCACTTGCCACACAGGGGATTGCCCAGCCCCACCTTGTTGGGACAAACACTGACTGTCCCTCTCTGTGCAGAGCTGGAACTGGACGACAGCTGTGCTGAGGCCCAGGACGGGGAGCTGGACGGACTCTGGACAACCATCACCATCTTCATCACCCTCTTCCTGCTCAGCGTGTGCTTCAGCGCCACCGTCACACTCTTCAAGGTGGGCGCCGCTCCCCCACCACCCCCGAAATATCCACACTATCCACAAGCTATCTCTGTGGTGCCCGTTCTGTCCCTACCTGTCCCAACTATCTCAAGTGTTCTCTCGTGCTGTTATATGTCATCTTCCACAGTCGTGTGCTGCCCTCACACCACCCCCTCACTGTCCCTCTATTGTTCTGTATTGTCCCCACATTGCCCATGTTGTTACTGATTTGTCTTGATGCTCCCCCGAGTTGTCACCTACCCTATCCGCTGTCTTCAATATTACACGCACCATGTCCTTACGCCGTTCCCCTCTCAACCCACACCTGGTCCTCACCAGATTCTTATACTATCCCTACAATTCCCTTCCTATAGCTATGCATCTCAAAACTACACCCACCCTGTGCCTACAATGTCACTGTCCTATCCTCACTGTCCCCCTGTGTCACCCTCTGGGTCATCCTCTGGGTCACCCCAAGGTTGGGAGCTGCCCCTGTCTTACTGTACAGGATGGAGAGGACTGAGGTCACACAGTTCACCTCACTTTTGCATGCCACAGGTCAAGTGGATCATCTCCTCCGTGGCGGAGGTAAAGCAGATAGTTGCCCCTGACTACAGGAACATGATTGGGCAGGGCGCCTAGGTAACTTCTTCAGAGGGACCCAGAGATTTCGAGGCCCCTCCTCTAGGACCAAGCCGATCCAGCTGAGCAGCCGGACACACGGGTCACACTGCCCTCTCATCTCAGCATCCTTTGATCTTACGGCTCCAACTCTGCTGCCAACCTCCCTGCCACATTTGGAGGACCACGTGGAGCGCAGACTCTGCCCCAGACCATAGCCAACAGGACCCAAGCAATAACACCACAACAGTTGCCAGAATAATGGATAAGGCCATAGTTCCTTTTATAGGGTGTCTGGCCCCCTGCCGGGCTCTCTCCTGGGAAGGGGGCTGCTTTAACCTGATGCAGGCAAGCCTTAAACCAGCTTTGTCCACACAGTCCTCTCTAAAACAAGGTTTCCTGACAGAAGTGGAAGTTTCCACATGCCACTGAGGCTGAGAAGCCAGGGACTCCACTGCCCAAAGGGAACTCTGGGAAGGGCTGCTGAAAGTCACTGTAATGGCCTTCACCCCAGCAGTACCCTGACTTAATGACTTAATGGGTTTTTTCCTGACACTTAAACGAACTCTTGTCTCTTGGAATTTAGGGGTAGAACCTCCCCAAAATGGGGCTCCTCGTGAAGACCCCCTTTTCCTGCCACCCATGCAACACACTGAATTCTCATATGCAAGATCCAATCAGAGACACTGCCAACCCCACAGCCTGAAGAGCAGGACTCTGTTACCTCACTGCATGTCCCAGCTGTACTCCAGAGAGACACTCAGAGGAGGGCCTGAGCCTCACAGCTTCTGTGGAGCCCTAGAGCCAGTACAGAGGCCACTGAGCAAGGGCTGAGCAGCCCAGAAGGACCTCCAGAAAAAGGCCTGATGAGCAGATCCATGTCAGGCCATAAGTGGTTCAGGAGCAACAGAGAAACATTGTTTCTCTAGGATGCTAGAGAAACAATGCCGTAGGGGGTCCTCCCTGCAGCGCAGCAGCGGGACACGGCCACTCACAGCAGAAAATACCAGTTAGAGAAGACATCCAGGGAGAGAGGCCACTTCTGGGGCACTGAGGCTGACTGGCCACTGGCACTGGAGGGGCACCATGACTGTTTCCCCATTTCATATAAATGCAAATGCCAGGTCAGAGTCTCCAACAAAGACAAAGGAAGAAAGTAGGAAGAAAGTTGGGGGGGGAGTGTCCGGCTCCTGGGGAACTCCCAAGAGATGTTTATTGACACAGAGCTTAGCTTTGCCAGCTTCTTAAAATTTCTGGAGCCCATTTATGTCTTTATGGTCTCTCTCCATCTTTTTTTTTAATAGCAATAAAACATCCTTCAACATTGTACGACTCACTCTGTTCTTCCTGTTTGGACTAGTCCCACTGTCCTTGTATGTGCACAGACACCACACACACACACACACACACACACACACACACACACACACACACACACACACACCATGTGTGCCTCATCCACCCAGCACTCTGCTCTCAGTCTCAAGTCTCCTCCAACTACCCCATAACAAGGTAGAGAGGCTCTGTGGGTGGGAATCCTTCTGGGTGCACAGGACATGGTGGCCGGGAAGGGGGGTCAGCCTGGAAGAAGATAGGTAATACCCATATGAGGGGCTGATGCTGAAGCTTGAGGGTGGGGCCTGTAGACAGATAACTTGCAGTGGAGAAGACAGTCTGGTGGAAGTAACTCCCACTGGTACAGGGTGACAGCCTTTCTAAGGAAGATCTCACCAGGGAAGGGGGAAGGGAAGCAGAGGTATGTAGCATCAGAGCAGCCGACTCTCACTGCATTCCCAAGGGGAGTTTTTGCAGCTGGAACATCCTTAAGGCACAGGTTTGACTGTTGGAAACTGTTCGGTGCAGTAGCCATATAAACCAGCTGGCCAATGCAGTTGCAGCTTCAGCTATCGTGATGCATGTGTACCACCCAGGACTGGGAGGTATCAGACCCTGTAGGTGGCATTTCTGCTATGGGAACCAGGTATTGGCAGGCAGTGAAGTGTGGCATTTGACTCAGAACCAGTACCTACTGCACAGCGCACTGAGGGAATCTGGGCTTGAGCCCACATATGCTAAACATCTGGGCTAAAGCAGGATGCCTGGAACACAGAGCAGTGGGGCCTGGAGTACAAGGGAAAGACTCTGTCCTAGACCTTCAAGAGATAATTAGGGCCTCCGTGTATCTCAGGACCCGAATATGACCACAACAACCTCCCTTTAAAGTAAGCGAGATGGGAGATTAAGACCCTTCGTTCAGGGAGCACTTAGGCTTCGGAGACCCTAGCAGGCAGACACCTTCTCTGTGGCCCTATAGTAAAAGCATTTGGATCTCCCCAGCAGGCTGAGAAAAGGGATACAGTCGTGCCAGTAATTGGTCCTCCACAGCTGAGAAAGCTGAGCTGAAACAGATCCAACACAGTTCATTTCTCCAGAGCACCTGCACTGCTGTGTTCCCGTGTGGTTTTAAGCCACCTCACTTCAATGTCAGCTTCTGCATTAGTTTCCATGGGCTGCTAGAACAGAAATCATGGTTTGAATAGCAGAGCTGCATTCTCTGCCGGCCCTGGAAACCAGGAATTTGGGATATGGCTGCAGAGGTTAGAGTTCTCCGTACTGCAGAAAGAATCAATTCTGTGCACTACCAAGCTCTACAGTAATGACACCCAGCCATCCCCTGTCTTTCAATGCAGCAGCCACCAATGAATTTTTACAGCCTTCTCCCCACGTGTGCATCAGTGTGCCAGCCACCCCTTTTAAGGGACCTAGTACTATTGTATTTGATGTCCTACCCTGATCCAGTGACAAACTCAGTATCCAAATGTTGTCATGTTCTAGTGTCCTGAGCTTGGAAATTCAACATTCATTGCTATGACCAAATACATGACAAAAAAGCAAGAATTTTTGTCCCACTGTTTGAGAGAAATCAATCCATCGTGGTGAGGAAGATATAGAGATGGGAAGTTCCGGAGAGGGTGAAGGTGCTTGCAACAATTTTGATGGCTTGCAATGGTTTCTCAGAAAGTTAAGAACCTAGGTTAGAACCAGAGCCAGGCAATAACACATTGTCCCTGACCACATGGCCCTATATCTCCCAGGCTTTGGACAAACAAGCAATAAGTGCCTATTGTGGCAAGTAGATCTAACCCTTCAGCCATCAACAGTTGAGTCCATAAGCAGTGACGTCTGCTCCCATGGCAGTCCTGGATCCTGGCTCCCAGCGTTCTTTCTCACGGCAGAGTTGTATCCTGGCTCATAACATACAAGTGGAATTCAGAGACTGTCCAAGGCCAAATGTAGCCCCAAATGTATGCCCTAAGTGACCTACTTTCTCCATTAGACCCTCCCCCCACCATCACCACCTCCCAATAATGGCATCAGATTCTGAATCCATCCGTGCTGGGTTGACCCACTGATGAGTTCAGAGCAAACTCTCAAGATCTAACCATCTCTGGGAAATCCTGCATAGACCCCACCAGAGAAATGCCATCATGCGACCCAGTCAAGGTGACAGTCACATGAACCATCTCAACAGAGAAGGGAGAATCTTGCCACAAGTTCTCAACATCAGCTCCTGCCTCAGTTTCCATCCTGCTGGATTGTCCCAGGAAAATCAAACTTACCATCCACATTTCTGTCACAACTGTGTAGCCAGTCCCTGAAAAGTCTTCAGCCCCTCCCCACTCTATCTGTGTCTGGTCTCCACCCTTCTGGAACTGGAGCTATATTTCTGTGTGTCATTGCCTGTCATTTATGTCCATCATCTGTCCTCACTCTGCTGTCTACCCACCTATCGTCTCCATTTCATCATCCTTGGGGTCTGTGAGAAGGTCTACTGTGGATGCCTGGATTTTCACGGGGCCTAGGGGAAGGCACCTGCCTGCCGCTGTTCCCAAATCCTTATTTAAAACAATCTTTAAATTCAAATATATTTGGATTACATTTCCCCCTCCCCCAAGCCCTCCTAGATCTTTTCACCCTCCCGACCCACCCAGCTTAAAATTCTTTCTCAAAAAACAGAAAAAAAAAAAAAACAAAAATCCCAATACAACCATGAAGCCCCCAAAACCGAGAATGCATAATAAAAAAAAACATGCCCAAAAGGGGGGAAAAAACAGCAACAAACTTTCACTACATAAAAGTGCACTGGAGTGTGCACACATGCGTGTGTGAGCGCACACACACACACACAATTTCAGTCTTCCTGAGGAACCACAACACTTTATTTCCATAGTGGCTGTATGAGTTTGCACTCCCACCAAAAATGGACGAGTATTCTTGTGACTCCATATCTTCCCCAGTATGACCTGTTGTCACTTCTTCTGTTGATCTTGAAGGGACCAGCTTCCCTTTTGACAGCCATAACGGCTGAACACGTGCTCTATGACCTTGTCTTAGTCACTAGAAAGTCAGATGCCTGCCTCGTGACAAGGAGCCAATCAGAAGTTAGCTGGTGGCGCTATGCTTTACGACCCTGGGTGTGCTTTACGGACAAGCGCACAGCAATGATGCACAAAGCATAGCAACCACCCTGGGAGGGCCTAAGGGCCATATCAACCAGTTGACCAATCAACACAGGGCAAGCCCTCCAAGCCTGGAGGCACACCAATCGTGAGCCTATGCATACCTCTAGACACTCCCCTTACGCTGCCCTATAAGATCTCTTGGGAGGCCCTAGGATCTGTCTTTTGCTAGCCATCTGCCATGGCGGGTGGGTGAAAGACCCGAGCTAACATAAAGCCTCAAGCAGTTTGCAGCAAGCTCTCGAGTCCGCCTGGTGATTGGGGTGACCGTGGTCGTGGCCTGGGACCCCGGATACCTGAGTTTTCCAGGGGTCTAACAATCTCAGCCATTCTGACAGGTTTAGATTGAATCTCAATATAGTTTTGATTTATATTTTCCTGATGGCTAAAACACTGAACATCTCTTCAAGTGTTTCTCATCCATTTGAGTTTCCTATATTAAGAATTCTCTGCTAGATCTGCATCCCATTTTTTAGCTAGGTTGTTTTCTTGTTATCTAGT